TAACCCTATCACTACTAGCAGCTATGGCTGCTCGCTAACCCTATCACTACTAGCAGCTATGGCTGCTCGCTAACCCTATCACTACTAGCAGCTATTGCTGCTCTGTCTCTCTCATAGCACACTTCAGCTTCGGGCATCTGCAGACCACCTCGCACAAGACACGCTGGCAGCGCTTCCGCTTGGTTCGCAACAGAATGATTGAATTGCTGGACGCTGCCTCTTAATTTATACTTCTGTTGGTCGCTGCTCTGCCCCTTTCCACCAGGCCCTTGGTGCCCACAGTCCCACACGGTACTTGCTTGACTGGACTAAGTGTAACTGGGACCAGTACCGCTGACTGAACGGGGTTGCACTGCCGACTCAACGCAGTTGGACTTGCGACTCGCCTACAGCTGTAACCCCTACTTGACAGATCTACAGATCGAACCCCTACAGCTACAGGCACCGACGACAAACAACAGTCACTACTAAAACACAGGTCGCGGGCTCAAAACACACTGGGGTCTATTCGATACTGTACACGGGTGCAGGTAAGGTCTAGGGATTGAACCCTGGGATCTGCATCTGCTTCTGCAAAGGTGAGAACCGTTTCACTCCCGCCGACCTAAATTCAAGGTCCTCCGAGAATACTTCAGTCCAAGGAAGGACCTTTACCTTTCCAATCTCTCTCGTAGGCTCCGACTACGTGGGGAGCTGTCTCTAGAAGTTCTGCTCTGGTGAACCAGCCGTCGTCTTCCAGTTCCTGGTAAGAGAATCTGACTTTGTACTGTTTCTGTGAACAACCTCTACCTCCTGTTCTAAAGACATCTTCACCTACTATGTGATCAATGTCGTACCTGCCATCCATATCCGGAGGGATCATAGATCTCCGTGATGGGAACTGTTCACTTGTGGTACAAGGCAACAACTTTGATGCATGAAAAATTGGGTAGGTGTGGAGGTGTGCTGGAATCTCTATCGTGTAGGACGGTCCATCCTCTCCACCTTTGACTTCTAGGACTGGCCATGGTCCTCTGTAAGCAAGTAGCAGTTTTTGTCAGATGTTCTCCTCAGGAGCAAACTCTTTATAGACTTGACCCAGACTAAGTCGCCTACTTGGAACTGTGAAGGGCGACGGTGCTTATTGGCTTGCTCTATCATTCGGTGCTGAGCCTTCCTGAGGTTCTCCACTACTGTAGCAACCTCTTTTTCGTGTTGTATCACAAATTCTCTAGTACCGGGCGGTAGCCTCTGAATCCGATCCCGGTAAAGGACTTATGTAGGTCATTGGGAGTGCGACAAGTGGCTAAGTGCACGCTATTGTTGTAAGCACTGGCTACCGTTGGGAGCATCTCATCCCAGTTAAGTTGGTCGGGCCTAATGTACATTCTCAGAACTTGCTGCAGGACTTTGTTCATCTGCTCAGTCTGACCGTTGGTCTCTGGATGACGGCCCAGATGAAATTAACAACTTTGATCCGTAGACTTTCATTACTTCCCGCCAGTTCTGACTAGTGAACCGGGTGTCCCTGTCACTAATTATAGACAGCGGTAGCCCATGTTCACTGACCCAATGGTCGACAAACTTCTGTATTACTAATTCTGTGCGTGCCTCAGCGGGCAAAGGGCTCTTGCCATGTCTACTCTTGACACCAGTGTCCATGAAGTCTATAGACACTGAATCTCCAAGTCCTTCGGGGATAGGCATGAGTCTGAGAAGACCTAGAGGGGCTTGCGTAGCAGTCCTATTCCTTTGACAGACTTTGCAACTGCGTATGTATTCTATGCAGTCAGCCTTCTTACCAGGCCAGGTATACGCACACATGAGGTTGGCTAGTGTCTTCTGCCAACCGAAATGCTCCTCTGTATCATGGCATTCCCCTAAGATCAGACTTCGGATCTCTTCGCTATTGGGAACGCATAGACGGTCAACAACATTAATCTTATCAAATAACAAGCCGTCGGTAGTGCGGTAATCTGGTTCGGACTCTGGGGCCTCCTTAACAATCTTGAGGAGGTCACTATAAATAGGGTCCTGCGCATACGCTGCTTTGACTTTCTGTTGCAGGTCTCTCCCTATATCCAGGTAGTGCACTATCGCTCCAAAGTAGTCTGATCTCCTACTCAGGGCGTCAGCAACTACATTGTATTTCCCCTTGACCGGCTTGAGCTCAAAGTCGTACTGATCTATTTCTGCGGCCCACCTAGTCAACTTCGGTGTCATCTTGGCCTGCGTTTTCAGCCACCTTAGCGTCTCGTGGTCTGAATATATATTAAAGTGCCTCGCAAGCAAGTAGTGCTTCCAGTGATCTAACGCTTGCCTGAGAGCGTAGAGTTCCCTCTCGTAGGTGGATGTTGCTACCTTTTCTGAAGGCATTCTAACAGACATGAACTCTACGGGTCCATAACCATTGCCATCGTCTTGCTGTAGAACGACACCTAAACCGTACCGAGTTGCATCAGTGGTAACAACGAAACGCAGAGACGGATCGGCTACCTTGAGGACTAGGTACTCTATCAAGGCTTGCTTTAACTTCTTCAAGGCCGATGTGCAGTCCTTATCCCATTTCCAGATTGCCTCTTTCTTTAGCAACCTGCTAAGGGGAGCAGCGACGGTGGAGAAGTTCCTGACGAACTTGCTATAATGATTTGCAGTGTGCGGGGAGTCGGCCAATCTCTAATCGCTGCTATCTTACTGTCCTCAGGCTTTATGCCATCTCCATCTAGGACGTGGCCCAGGTATAAAACCTGTGTCTTGACCCGAATCTTCCCAAGGCCTGCCCTGTGGCAAGCCAGGGTGCCATCCACCCCTCCTGGGAGGTGATCGATTGTAACGAGGACAGTTTTGCGGGGGACCTTGACCCCTGCCTCCCTCTTGGCGRTTTCCCCTGCCGCCAACCCCCTGATCGTCCTGCCCTCGACCACTAGAGGCCCGGCCCCATTGGCCCCGACCTCGTCCTCTTCCTTGCGGCCTCCCTCCAGCCGCGACAGCAGCATAGGTCCTCCCCTGGCCTACACTCCCGTCCTCCTCCTCGAGGCCCCACTCAATCTCACTATACGGGACCTCCTCCATTCCACCCTCATCTAATGTCAGGATCAGGC